TATTATCTTCTAAAAACATCTCCTTCAACAACTCCAATAATTCAGTAAAACTTTTATCAGTCCATCCATTTCTTGCTTTTAAACTGAACAATCTTAAAGTTGCTGATAATCTTGTAAAACTGCATCCTGGGTATAATTGTTGCTCAAAATCAAACTTCAAATAATCATACACTTGTGCTTTTATTAAATTCTCTTCACCACTATCATATATCATTTTCTTTAAATTATCATTCATCCATTCTTTAAAATTTTTTGTTGTTAACATAATTGAGATGTCTAATATTTCTCCGTGTCATGTTCATATTATATAACTCTTAACAAGACCATAGAAAAAATAAGTGATCATGTATATCCTCAAGTTCGTGCAGAATTTGATTCAAACAACAAACACATGATCAGTAATATGTCCCTTTGATAGATTTTCCATTTTCACGAATAAATTGCAAAACCTTCTCAACTCCCTTTTCATACTCTTCACTAATACGATATGCATACATCCAACTTCGGTCCATAACTACCTATGTTATAAATTTTGTCACTCTTAGAGACTCAAACACATATTCATAATTAAAAAATATATACAAACAACAAAAAATGTGGGATTCAAACAAATAACCCGTGAAAACATAACAAAGCAGTGTATAAATCATAGGTGCACTTGAACGAATAAACGGACAACCACAAATAATAACAGTTTAATTTCAATGACAATACAATGGTCGTTGTCATCATCATCAACTAAAAAACCTTCACACACGTAAGAAAGAAGAAACCCTAAGTGAAATAAAATGTCTTTTATGTTGGACTTCATATGGATCAACGTAACATTTTGCACTATTATTTTAAAAAATGTCACAGAGTTTTGTTAAAGTCGATTATTTGTAACGCAGTGAAAAAAAAAGCGATGTAAAAAGTCCATTTCACTAGTATAAGAAAAATATATTGTAAATAAAAAATTATTTTTTCCTTCTAAGTTATATTAATTTATTTTTTTCATAATAAGTTTGACAAATTATGAATTGATATCTTCTTCTCCACACTACAGAGAACACAAATAAGATAATAAAATATTTATTATAATAAGATAATAAAATATTTATAATCATGAATAATAATTATTTATAGATACTTTGATTATATTTATAAAACCAATAATAATGAAAAAAAATACAAAAGATATTATTTTTTTACATGGATGTATTGTGTAAGAATTAGAAACTTACACTTCATCTTGGCTATTTTATTTTTTAGATATAATGGTTGAGATAAATTATATTTTAAATCATTAAATTTGTAACAACCCAAATATATATATTATATACATTTAATTTACATGCACATAGTACTCAAAATAAAAATTTACTCTGCACAATATATATATATATATATATATATATATATATATATATATATATACCACATAATAAAATAAAATAAATAATTTATCCTATTCTTCATGCTGATATCTACCACTTGTACCATATGTTCCCTCATACCTACTTTAGTTGAGACCTACCACTTTTACCATATGTTCCTTTCCTGTATTAATACACGATCGTTATACTTTAGCTGAGACCTACACAACACATATGAGAATATCCTTTATTATTTCTCACATTACAACACATCATGATAATTGCACCAAATAAATACGCATACATCTAATTTCAACATTTCTAATCATATTTAGTATTTAACTCTAAATGTAAATGTATATAATAGTTAATTCCATTTAATTAAAAAAAGATGTTTTAAAACCATTTAAATCATGAGGAGAAAATAATTTGTTTTACAAAAATGGCTAAATGAAAATTAAAAGCATTGAGCAGATTATGCAAACACATTCAATATTGTTTATGTTAAATTTTCATTGAGTGAAATGAAATTCTAATAGGCAAAATTTTCACAAAATTGAAGTCTCGTCATAGTTCAAAATCTTAAATCCACTAAGCGAAATTAAATTCAATGGGTGAAATCATGACAATCCAAACTACGTAACCTGTCACATACCCAATTTTCAAAGCTCCATATAAAATTGAATCTAAATATTACCCTCCAAATTACAAATCAATTCATGTAATTCAATTTAAGTACAATACAGTCAAACAAAACTCTATCATTTTCAATAACCGATTATCAACTCACATTAAGTATTCTATTGCAATCATTACACAATTAACATACATACAATTAATCGCATAACCGGATTTCCTACAATTCAAGCAAGGTGACCAAGTCATCTTCACACTTTAGATCTTTTAATTTAAAGTGCTATGGAAGTTGAAAAATAGTCACTAATACAAAAATAACATTTTATGACGACTTATTATGACAGTTCTAATTTACCCGTCATAATAAGTTGGACAATAAAACTTTTGTAACTAAAACTTACTTTTTATGACGGTTCGAATTTGAACTGACATAAAAAGTACTTTTTATGTCAATTCAAAATTGAATCGTCATAGTAAGTATATTTTATGTTAGTTTAATTTTAAACTGTCATAGGAAGTAACTTTGTTAATTATAAAGTTAGACACTTTTTATGTTGATTCAACGTTGAATCATCATAATAAATACTTACTATGACATTTTTATTTTGAAGCGATATAGAAGTGACTTTGTCAATTTTAAATATGAGTCACTTTTTATGTCAATTAAAAATTGAACAGTCATAGTAAATATTTATTATGATAATTCAAAATTTATGTCAGTTCAAAATTGAATCGTCATAATAAGTACATTATATGTCAGTTCAATTTTAAACTGTCATAGGAAGTAACTTTGTTAATTATAAAGTTAGACACTTTTTATGTTGATTCAACGTTGAATCATCATAATAAATACTTACTATGACAGTTTTATTTTGAAGCAACATAGAAGTGACTTTGTCAATTTTAAATATGAGTCACTTTTTATGTCAATTAAAAACTGAACAGTCATAGTAAGTATTTATTATGATAATTTAAAATTAAACCGTCATAAAAAGTGTCTAGATTTAAATTTTTCATATTCATTTTATCTTCTTCATCTTCCTCATTTTTAATTTTTTCCTTCCATGTAAGAAAATTTCTCTCAACTTATTTTTTCTTTCATTTATTGTTTCCTCATCACATTTATCTACTTTTTTTTTTCTTCATGCTTGCACCATCATTTCCTACAATCTTGCTTTTATCTCATTTACAACAAAGGTAATATATGAAAACATTCTCTCATTTTTTTTCTACATTAGTTTGTATTTCATGATTTGGTTTAATGAAGTGTTTTATATGTTAGATGGCAATCATTGTTATAAATTTTTCTTTTTGTGAATGATTTTTCATCTAACTTAATTGAAATGATCTATACTTTATGTTTAATTATTTTTCGTATGTAGATAATGCTTTTGTTTAATTTTCAAAATTTTGTATTGCATTAAAATTGTTTGATAAAATGTTTGTAACATATATGACTATATAAAACAAAATTAACACAAAACTTTCTATGACGATTATGTTAAAAACCGACATAGTAAGTATTTACTATGTCGATAACGACATAAAAAACTATATTTTTATATTGTTTGGATCTATGTTGATTGTAGAACCAACATAAAAAGTTTAAAATAACTGTTATAAAATGTCTTTCATTAAGGAGTTAACTTTTCTTACCTTTTAACTTCTCCTCCCAAAAGAAAACCATAAAAACTCTTAAATTTACAAAAAGTCAAATAATGTTCACATAAAAGTCCAATAAAAAAATTAAATATATCATAATATTTCTAGACTAATTAAGATTAATATTTACTCTACAAAACCCACATGCAATCCCCTCAAATTTACTTGTAATTTCTCTAAAAATTGGTAAAGATAAATTTACTCTATTAAAAATCTTAATTAGTTAGAATTGTTCCACTCAATTCTAGAAGTATTATGGTATGTTTAAATGTAGAAAAATATAAGAGTGAGAAATTGAAAAAAAAAATCGAAGACAAAAAATTTTAACATAATATTAATTTTGGGAGTGAATTTTGAATAATTAAGTTTTATATTTATAATTTTTTTTAACTTAATAAATTTCAAACTTTATTCCCCTAATACCATTTCTATTCTTAATTAACTTAAATTAGATCTCACAAAAATAAAATAATAAGAATACCTGTAATTAGTAAATCTCACCGTTTTCACCCTTATATATATATATATATATATATATATATATATATATATATATATATATATATATATATATATATTCCAATTTTCTTCCTTTATTTTTTGTTTTATTTTTATTTTTAATCTTTTACTTTTCTTGGTGCCCAAAAGAAAAGTCTAACCTTAGCGTGGCAAATTATATCTACGCCAAACACGTTTAATGGATGATTTTTATATATTATGAACTTTGTATGATTTGATTTATATGATATAAGATTATGAATGAATATAGAACTAAGATGTTTGGTTCGATGAGAAGAGGAAAAGATAAATAATTTAAAAAAGTTATAAGCATTATTTATATTTATATTTATTTATCTTTAACTAAACATGTTAATAAATAAATAAATAAATAATCTCCAAAACTAATTTTTATTTATTTTTAAATATATTTCATATATTTGTATTAAAATGTAATGTAATGTTTACATTATGAATTAAATTATAGTATATTTATTACAATGTAAGACTAAATTGTATTGTAATATGATATGTAGAAATTGATTTGAAGTAAAAATAAATAAAAGTATAAAAGTTATTTTAAATATTTTGTTTTAATTTATTTAAATTAAAAAATTAAATGAAAAAAATTTCTTAAGTTTAACCAATTTATCTATTTTGCCCTAAACAAAATTGGTATGAAAAAGCTAAAACACAAGTATAGATTAGTATAAATGTTCAGTTTTTGTTCTGACAGCAAATTGATGTTACTGGAAGACAAAAAAAATGGTTAGACATCCACCACATTTAATCTGACACGTACAAAATCTCTCCGGCACTTCTCCAATGTCTCGAATTGAAGTTAGATAGGTCGGGGCTTAGGCTCAGCACAATGGTGTGAAAGGTTGGCAGATAGGGTGGTGCTTAACATCATAGAATCTAGTCATGGGGATAAGGATCAATCGACAGGGTTGGAGATGTTTCATGAGACTCTAGTCTCACCAATTTGGTATTTGGGTTGGCCTATGTCAAATCTTACTCTTTCAAAATGCCAACTACATCTGCCACGTTTAAACCATCATTTAAGATGATATACATTTTTGCGTTGATTAAGGATACAAATTGGAAACTCAAACAAAACAAGAATATATATATATATATATATATATATATATATATATATATATATATATATATATATTTTCTTAATAATAATAATTTTAATTGATTTAAAAAATAAATTCTTAATAATTCATATGAGTGTAACCATATGAACCAACCGAAATAATTTAATAAATAAGTAAAGTTAAACAAAAAAGTTATAATTTAAATTAAAGATTTATTTTAACTCTATTTATTTAGATTATAACCTATACATATTATAAATTAATTTAATAAGAAATTCATTTATTTTAAAAATAAATAATAACTATTTATTTTAATATCTAATTATCAAGATTAATTATTATTTAAATTAATAAAGTACTAAAAAATAAATAATGATAATAAAAAGTAAATTTTTAATTCTTATTTTAAAATTGAATGGATGAATTATCTTATAATTAATTGATTTGTTATAAATATGTTAATATTAAAAAAAAACGCTATTAGGCCAAAATTATCCGTTTACCTATTGGTCTAACATAAGATTAAGTTAGGTTTAAAATTTTGATTCATTTTAAAATATTGGTCAAACTAAATTATCAACTTTTTTACTTAATTTATAAAATCATGTTAAAATAGGCTCATACACTCGTTTTGATAGCTCTAATAACCAAATTTTGTTAATTTGATTGGATTCAATTTAAAATCAAAACATCATGACAACTTATTAGTTTAGTTAGGGTAAAGTGGATTTAATTATATGCAAAATGATAATATTTTTTATTGAAGAACATAAATAATTTTATCTATAAAAAATATGACTGCTTTGTAAAGAAAGTATTTTGATATTATATTTATTATAATAATAATATTATTATTATTTTATTTAATGTATCCTTCATTTTGAAATTTATTATTAAAAAGTTGAATTCAAGAATAATTTATATATACATTATTTTTTTAATTTATCTAACTACTTTTAAGAATAAAATCGCAATAAAGTAAAATTTTAAAATGAATAATACATCTTAATATAAATTCAAGCAATATTATTATACAATGAAATTGAAACCGGAACATTTTGTTCCTATTTGATACAATGATTACTTGTTTAATAGTGATATTTTTGTATTCTAATTAATTTATAAACTGAATTATAGAAAAAAAATTAAAAAACTACATCATTATATCATAAAACTAAATAATAAGAAAAATGCACTATCGATTTGGTTCGAAATCGTTAATTTGTAAATCACAATTTCGATACCCCTATGAATATCTCTAACTACATAAGAGAAAATAAAATTAATAAAAAAGATGGAAGAGTACAAATTTACCCCAACGTTAAGATCCAAGTGGAATAATGTTAATAAGAAATGTAGTATTCAAATTTACCTCCCATCCCATCTTTTTGCTGAGTAGTAGACTAAGCAGCGTTAAATTAGCGACGAAATATATGATTGAAATTAAGATGTCTAGAGTCCAAATGCAATGTTTTGGAAGAACTTTGGTCTAAAATTTACCTTCTCTTTTTGTATTGTTATGCTGTGTTCACTCACTTTGTTTTGGACTAATTAGTGTTCAAACCCAAAGTCAATAATGACAGCGAGTGATCACGCAGAAGTAAAAAGGGAACAAAGAAAAAGAAAGGCCCTGCAGAAACAAACAAAAATTAAAAAAAGAAAACACCAGGACCAAACTTTGGAATTAGAAAAGACACGAGACATGAGAGCAAAGACTTACTTTTTCTTACTTTTTTTTTTCCTGTGTGAAGTGCAGTGGCAATTATTGGTATGAGTACAGATAATTGACAATTACGTTAGTAACTTACGAAGCTAGCTAGGGTTTTCTGTGATGTTTGCCTATGAAAGGGAAGGGAAAAGATAAAAGGAAAATGAAAAGGCTAGTCAATAACGTTTGAATTTGCATAGTTTGAAAGAAGACAGGAAACTGTTTTAGGTGAATCAATTCAATTATTTTCAGGACAAATATATGCCAAACACAAGTCTCGTTCGCTTTCTCATAAACGTGTTAATAAAAAGTGAAGTTAGGGTTTTGGAAACTGTTCTAAAAAAAAAAAGATTGTCTTGAATATGATTTCCAAACTTTCTCCAAAAAAAATCGATCCTTGTTATTTGTCTATTCAGAAGTTTTAGATTTGTATTTATAAATTTTCTCTAACCATCCACTTCAGTTATCGTGATTTTATGTGTGTTGATCGTTAGTTGAGGTCTTTTTATTATTTGATAGATTTATAATTCTTTTAGTATTGTAATATTCGAGAGTAAAAATCAAGAATAATTTATATATATATATATATATATATATATATATATATATATATATATTCAGTAATATCTGGATTTGAATGTGTACTAATGATCTGGAAATTAACTGTAACAGTCATTGTGTTATAAAGATTTAAGTGAACTCACCTTACATAAAGCTTAAGAAGGAAAAAATTTAGATGCCATTGTAGGAACAAATAAGATTTATACAACAATTTAAAATGCCCATAAATATAAAATTGAGGATTTACAAATTTTGAAGATCCTGTAAAATATTTGCTCATTTCAAAAGATAAATTTATTTATTTATTCGTATATATATATATATATATATATATATATATATATATATAATAATTGTTTTTTACTATGAATTATTCATGGTGAGAAATAATAATTAACACCGTTATCACTTGGAATAAGGGATACGTGTTGTTATTACTTGTATTAATCAATGTTAAAACGTAATATTATTAATGATAGATTAAGGTTCAAACATAATTTAAAATTTAAAATGTAATCGAATTCTTTTGAGCATAATGATAATTTAAGAACCAAAATTTAATATTATAAAATATAAAAATAACATGTTGAGTAAAATATTTATTTTACTTATATTGAGAAATGAATGACTAACTTGTTGAGAAATACTTATGTATTAATGTCTTAAAATTTAAAGTCAAAGATAATGTCATATAATTAGTTTATGTTTTATTTCTGCCAATTTTACTCTTGAAAATCTTATAATAAAATATATCATATTTATTAAAATTGGAAAGGACAGTGGTTCAACCTATTTAACCAATTTGTTGATTAAAATCAACGACATTGAATTGATAAAAAAAAAAATGGAGCAAAATTGGTATAAACGAGTGGGTCAACAGTCTAATTGACTCGGGGATTTTTATTTTTTTTAAGGATTTTTTTAATTATTTTTAAAAGGTAAAATTTTAAATTTGTTTTGCTTCCTTTCAAATAAGTCCTAGACAATATTTTCCTCCCACGTTTTCATCCAATTCGCGGAACCTTCAGTCCTTTCCTTTGACAACACATATTTTGGATTTATAACTATAAATTTATTGCACTTTTAAAAAAATATTTTTCATATGTTTTTATATTTTATTTTTATATATTCTATAATAAATTTAATTTCTTTTGCATAAATATTTTAATTTCATATATTTAGTTAATCTAACTTTTGTCTATTATTTTATAAATAATTTTTGCTATAATATTATTCTTTATCCTTTTTTGTATTTTGAGACTTCAAAACAAATATATTATTTATTGCATTGGGATTTTTTTATGATTTTCAATGACTTTTCGAAATTTAGTTAGATTTGATATATTTTTAAAATTCAAAATTAGAATCAGATATTGTAATTAAACTTATAATCATAACTTTTGATTAGACCATTTATTTACCACTAATAAAAACTTTATCAAACAATTTAAATGGTATATTGAGGTATTAATTAATTAAAAATTTCAATTCTAATTAATAGAATTGCGCTTTTTTTAATATTTTGTAACACCTTAAAAATTATCATGTAAAATATTTCAATTGTAATGTATTAAATTATAATACTTTGGGGTAATTTAAATATTTTATAAACAATTATTTTTATTTAAAAAATATTATTATTATTATTATTAAATTATATTATTAGTAAAAAGATAAAAATTATTTATTATTAATTCATAAAAAATAATATTTAAATTATTATAGAAATAAAAAAATAATTAATTAATTAACTAATAATAAAAATATGTAATTAAAATAAATAATAATTAAAAAAAAAGTTAAGATAAGATAAAAATAAAAATTTGTATTCATCCACCTCATTAATTGTAAGTTAAAAAAAAAATGTAATCATCGTTATAAACAAGGGTACAGGAAAAAAAATGGAAGAGAAGAAAAGGGAGAAAGACAAAGGGAAAGAGAGAGAGGGAGTGAGAGAGGAAAAGGGAGAAAGAAAGAAAATATATAAGTTATTTTTGGGATATTTATAGTTATGTTTATTTTTTTTTACTCATAGTTGTAGAGTGATGTGTCTCTAATCTCATTCTACTATATTTATTTATTTCCAGTTACGCACTAGTTCTATTTATTTTATCTTCGACTTCACACTGATCCTATTTTATTTATCTCTAATTATGCATTGATCATATTTTATTTACCTCTATTTATGTACTAGTCCTATTTTATTTATTCTCAATTATGCACCGGTTCTATTTTATTTAACTCCGATTAAGCATCAACCATATTTTATTTATCTTCAATTATATATATATATATATATATATATATATATATATATATATTATGAGATTGTATTATTTTAAATAAAATTATGCTCACTTCCCTATTGTTCTTTCTTTTGCATGTTAAAACTAAAATTACAACTTAAATAGATGAAGACATCAAGATGAAAAACAAGTATCATTGATAAATCAACCACTTTTAGAAGAAAAATGTTTATCAATTTTAATAATTATTTCCGATATAGAAACAACATAAACCTGTAAAGTTCATATATTTATACATATAAATATAAAAATATTTATCTCATGTTTTACTTTTATCAAAATTTAATAAAAAATAATCATAACTTAAAATATATATGGTTAAATTAAGGTATAAAAAGGATGTCGCATCTTCTATTTTAGGTTACCATTTTAGGGTATCTAGTTTTGTCTATTTTTACTATATATCGCAAAGGAATTCTCTATATAAGGTTGAACGCATGAGGATTAATTTTGTACAATCTCTCTATTTTGGGGTTGGATTATAAATTATTTGAATTTGTTTTCTTAATTAATAAAATTTGAATCTAATATTTATTAGAGTTTAGATAAGACATTTGACTACATACTAAACCCAATTCAATGTTATTTGTTGCATAAATTTTGCCTACATGGATTAGTGTTATATTAATCCATTTATAACAGATTATAATTGATCATTTAATTATAATAAATAATTAGTTTTGTTTTTCATTCAATTCATTCTTAATTGTTTTCACATTCTTGATTTTTTTTCTTTATTTTCTCAATTCTCTTAAATTTGTTTTGACACAAAATTCCTTTATTTTCATGTTTTAATTGTTGATGCACGTCTATGCTTGATAAATTGCTAAAAGATATTTGATTATAGTAAATTCAACCTAGCCTTAACTACATTTTATTTTTAATTTTAATTGATGCATCTTTTTATTATCGTATGACTTAAATGTCATCCTTCACTCTCTAGTTTGTTTTGCATAGTGACCTTCATTAAGGCTTCCAACTACGATAATTATAAACTTCACTTTGATATTACCCTAAGAATCAATGATATGTTATACATCAAACGATATACAATCAATTGAAACATATAGTTACATGACGTCAAAAAATTGTTTTGTATTTCAATCAATATTAGAAATATTAACCATGCTTAGTTCATTTCTAACTTGTTGAACCTTTCTTTAGCTAAATGTTTAGTGAAGATATTATTAAGATGATAACGGGTATCTATAAATTCTACCAAAGAATCTCCGTTCGAAAATAATGTCTATTGAAATTATGTTTAATTTTTATATGTTTATTTCAAGAATGTTGTATAAGATTTTTGTTAAAGCTGATTGCTCTCTAATGTTATCTCAAAGAAATCATATTGAATTTGATTCATACTTAGCAACAAATTTATTTTGTACTATGTCATCATATTAAACTACTTCTAAGAAGATGATATGTACCACTAGTACTTTTTCATTCAAGTTTTCAACTAACAAAATTAGAGTAACAATTAAATTAAAAAGATGCACCATAAGATATCATAACTCAACATTTATAATTCATTTTAAGTATTAATGAATTGTTTTAGTTTGAATGAAATGAGACTATTTAGGTGATGATTGACACATAACATAGATGCATAATGTGACATCTGAAAATTTATCATGTAATTTTTTCAAATACAAAATATTAAATAATATTTTGGGTAATTTAAATAAATTTTAAAACAAAACTCATTCATGTAATATATATATATATATATATATATATATAATAATTATATTTTAAATTAAAAAAATATATTTATTAATTATTAAAATCAAGTTAGTTAATTAATTATTATAAAATAAAATT